TAACAATCAGATCTTAGGAGATGAAATTTTAAATGGCTGCCACCTTCTTAAGTGGCAACTGTGGCGTTGAACTACTATCTTGGATATTTTCCGAGGAATTTCACTGTCAAATTGCGGTCAACATTTCATTTAACTTAAGACGCCTTTCGGGAAAATGACACTGGAAATGCTCAGTGGTAGCATTTTAGATTTTAAAACATCAGTCTTACAAATAGAATCACCACCAGGTTTGGTTCTGTTTTGTTCATTTAAAATGAAACAACAATCAAATAAAAACAAACACAACAACAAGCTTTGATTCTATTAGACTCTCATAATATGAAACTTTTCTGAGCTGTTGCGGAACAAATTTGAAAACCAATAAAATTACTAACATATCACTTGTTTTAACAGAATATCAGTGTATAGAACTCATGCAGACATTGGTTTGTCAAAGCGATCAAAGAATAATCCCTCAGAGAAAGAAAGATTTAATATCACAAAGACAGGAGGTCCACGAATGACAGGTAAATTTACCAGAACAACTCGTGAAGGGAAAGTTAAAAAGTACCATACTTCAATAAAGTAAAATGAAGTTGATACCCTCGTGAAATGCGGTTATGTTCTTAAACCCATCTTGCTACCATACATTTGTTAAAATAATCGCTCAAAGCAAGCTCCTTTTCAAAATTTCAACAGCCGAAGTGCAGAAAGAAGTAGAGCGTATATATGAATTAACAAAGGGTCTTAACATGGTTGTGATCGACTGCGATGCCATCAATCATCCGTCCCAGCTATTGGACTGCTCGCTGGCGCCAATCGCTGTATACATCAAAATGGAACCACAGATTCTGGAAAAACTTGTCAAGCTACGCGGATCTAAACGAAAAAACCTTGGTGCTCAAGTCGTTGCTGCTCAGAAGTTGGCACAGTGTAACGAGGTGAGACAGATTTTAGTTGCCTCAAAACAGTTTTCAGCTCTTTCTTTTTTTCTTTCTCTCACTGTACTACGATGACGGTGTGCAAAGTAATTCTCCACAACAGGTTGAGGGAATATGAAGGTGGCTGAAAGGCTTCTTCATATTTGAGTACGCTAGCTGCAGAAAGGATATAACTTGCTTAAACGCTTTGACTCTAAGAGTGACTAGCATCCAGTTTCTCCCTATAATATAACCCCTGAATCAAATGTTAAGGTCACAGGAATAAAGAAAATGATCACCAACTAAAGAAGATCTTGGTTGTTAAACAAAGTCTCCTTGTTTACAACTTAGAAAATGTATGAAGAACAGCATGGAAAATATCCATACTGACATTGGGATGTAAAGGATTAATGATAGGTGCCTATGACTCAAACCTTCAATCTACCACTCTGATTTTCACTATCAAGTAATGATATACTTTCTTAAGATACATCTTTCGTAAACTTAACAAAACTGTGCGAAGGGGTTTCAAGTCACCTACAATTTCTTAAAATATTAATGTAGCTCTAGACATTACCAGTGTGTATTTGCATTAATTCTTTTCATATTTCATGCAGGAAATGTTTGACTTGGTTCTTGATGAGGCCATCTTTGAGGACGCTTGCGAGCACCTAGGGGAGTTTTTAGACCAGTATTGGAGGGACCTGCACCCGAATGATTGTGAGGACGGAGCAGCGTCTTTATCAGAGAAGATGCCTCTGCTCCAGGGACCCGGTCGAGTTCCTGCTTTAAAGGTACCTATCTAAATCGCATGACACATATCACAACCGCTCTTAAGGGTCCCTGGGGGCCTATTAATTTCCAGGGCGTGGAGCTTAACGGGCTGGAAATTGGGTTGGGGGGCTCAATAAAGAAGGTAGGCTGTTTCCAAGTCTCTAAGCACGTGGAACAACATTATGCCAAAGCGCCGATGGATGAATCATTGACTCGGCGTGATACCGCTTGCCATTAAAACACAAAGGTGCTCTTCTAGGATCAAATGTCGTTAACACTTTCTTTCATGCGCTCAAACAGCTTTCTCGAAATGTTTAGCAAACAAGAATGATCCTTACTCGGAAACGTTTGCTAGAGGATATCTTATTCACTCGCAAACAGTCAAAAACACTCGCATTTTGTGGATACGCGGGCGCTGATTTCGAGTCCTGGTTTTAGGCCTAAATTCCGTGATATTAGGGCGCTTTTCGACTGAGTGTCGTAACACCAAAACCAAAGTTATCACGACGACCAATCATAAGAAAGGAAAACTTTCTTAAGAACCAATGAGAACTCAAACTAAAATCCAGCAAATTTCCCAAAGCGCAGGAAAATGCAAGAAACCACGTCGCGACTGGATTTAATCTTGCGTCGTTAACTTACAATCTATGTTTCAGGGCGCACAGGGTTTAGCCAAAAGCCAGCAAGGACAGTCACCTCTACAGAGTTTCGCTGGTGGAAAACAAGGCTCTCCATTGAAAGGCGCACAGCAACAAGGTGGACAGAGGGAGAGACAAGGCACCAGTGGCTCTCAAACAAACCAAAGGAAAATAGCGGTGAGTGGCAATGCGCCAGATTTTGGTAAGAAACTCCATGAAGCTTTCCAGAGTTCGCAGTCTCATAAAACCTCTGAGCCCGAGTATCAATCAAGTTACGGTCAAGAACCACCCTACGATCAACATCAACAACTTCAGCAACAGTACTATGGCCAGGGGGAGCATTACGAGCAGGAGCAACATTATGGGTCGGAAATGTACGGGCACCAACAAGGTTACACTACTGAACCCTATCACCAGGGGTACCAACAGCAGTATAGTCATGACGGCCATTACGGCTATGAACAATATGGGCAGGACCCTAATCAGGGGTACTCTCACGGGTATGAGAACCAGTACCCTGACTCCTATTACAACAGGGATGTCAGTATGGGGTACCAACAGCAATACAGACATGAAATGGATAGTCCTTATCAACAACAACAACAACAACAACAACAGCAAGAGTGGTATGGTGACTCAAGCAACTATTACGGAGGAGATGGCTACTATCAGTAATATATTATTGTAGAACAGTGTCAGATCAACGGCGAACACTCTCAATTTAACCACTGAATTAAAATTTGATAGCCTACCGAGCTATTTGTAGAGAATTTGCAATACCTGAAACCAATTCAAGGACAATACTTTCAAGACTTTCTTGATCAAAGTTGCAAGTTTTGTATTTGCTTCAGCATGATCTTTTCTTATCATGCACAGCAGTCTCGTGTTTCTCACGTGATGCAAAATGAGATGACACTTGCATGCTTTATAGCACTTAATTGACAGCATGAAATCACACTTGACAAAGTTATAGCAGGAGAGTTTATAAAATCAATGTTGATGGCATTTCCATCAAAGCAGAGAACTTGTTTAGCTGCCAAAATATGCTTGCTAAAGAGTTGTCTTAGCTACTATGGGAGAACTTCACAAATGTATACAATGTATGACTTGATTATCCCAAGAAAAGAAAGAAGTTCACTGTTTTGATCACATTTTAGACTAGTTATCTCAAACTTAAATCCCAATAACTAGGATGAAAACCACGGACAAGTCATTTTTGACTTGCTACACACAGTAAATTTTGTTAGCTCTAGCTGGTCTTATTTATGTGTAACTAACCTAGAATGAATTAATCCCTATAAAACTATGCTGAGCCAAACTCTCTTATCACAAAATAGGGTTGTAAAAAATATTAGAAGAGTAGGCAGCACTACAGGTTGAAGGTCTCTCTACAGGCATGGGCTCTGGGAGCTGCAAGACCTCAAAGAATTCAGAATGGCTGGCTCATTTTTCAGAGTAGACCATGAAGTACACTGGTTGCCCTATTATTTCAACAACCATGAAAGAGTAATCTGTAGTGTTAAATAGCCAAAAATATTCAGGAGATTTTTTAATGTATAGAACTTACAATTTGAACTGAAGAGTAAGGACCAGTGCACTGCTACAGATGAAAACCCTATTCTGTCTGACTTAAAAAAATCAGAATTTTAGTTTACTGAATAAAAATCAATGGCCAGTCTCACACTGCAAAATTTTTTTCAATCATTTGCTTTGAACAATTGAGTAGGATGGATCATACAACAAATAATGTTGTCCCATTAATTTTGTTAAATAGCTTTATAAAATAAAATTTTGTATTTCAAAAATAAATTCTTGCATTTTATTTAAACATTTAACTGCTGTCGGATATAAACAACAGTGGCCCACCTTTATATCAAGCAGACACCCCAGATGAGAAATGGAAAAAAAAATATAAAACAACTTCTTGAAGATATATGTACCAGGAAATTATTAGTTCAATAATTATCAAAAAATTATCTCAGGATACCAGATCTTACAAATGGAAGGTTTACATGACATGGGAAAAGGGCAACCCCTTAAAACCCCTCGATCAGATCAGTCATCCAAGACACGAGGAACAAACCAGAGATTGAAAAGGCTTTCTTGGTCAGGGTAAGGAGCATCATAATCCAAAATTTTTCAACTTACTCTATGCTTCCACATGCATAGGAGTGTGAAAATAAATCAACCCTTTACTCCCTAACATCAGTATGCATATTCTCCATAATGATCTCTATACATTTTCTAAGGTGTTGACACAGAGAGTTTGTCCAATTGGTGATCATTTCCTTTATTCTCATGACCTTAATAAGTGATTCGGGGGTGATATTGTCAGGAGAAATTAGATGCTAGTCACTATTAGGAGTCAAAGGGTTAAGATAAACCAAAGTTTTCAGAGTTTTGTACATGGGCACGATACAGCTTTGAAATTGATAATCTAGGCATAAAGAGAAAAACTTGATCAGTTGAACATTGATCAGGCGTGGTAAATACTGTGGAATAATTTGTCTGGTGGTTCACGATGGTATTTGACGATCAGTGTTCATCGAGGGATCACTTCAGGGGTTACAAAGCCCAGTCACATGCACAGACTAATTACAATCGAAATCTTAGTTAACAAATCTAAAACCTAATTACCAGTGGTTGTTTGCTAATTGATGCATATAAAAAACCGAACAGTTACACCTACCTTCACCTGGACATCGATATCACCGAAAATCTCTCATTCTGCTGGTACCTAAATACTGTCCATTCCAACCCTTGTTGTCGCAGCCATATTGAGAACATTTCCATCATCTCTATCAACCTCTGTAAACCTCTCGGGCTGCCGTTCAAGTTAAATTGAATTCTCTGTGTGCATTCCTTTATTTTTGGATGAGAAGTACTTGATTTGGAAGACCGTAATGCGCGAAAAATCAGCTAACTCGGAAGCCATATTTATTTCTCCCGCCACAATTACACAACGCATCCCATAACACTAATAACATACCGCTGGGCTGCGGAATTGACAGGACTTTAAAATGATCACTCGATCGTGTGGAGACTGGTAGCTAGAATTTAGTTGTGGCTTGGCATGACAGCGGCGACCATGAGGGAATATTGGGTTGAAGTAGGCCACTCAAAACGCAATTTTATTTCTTCATTAGGACTCACTGGGACATTTGCGTCAATCAGAGTGCGCTAACGAATGGATAACAATATCAGTAGCACCTATCCTTTACTCTGTTCATTACTAACTTTAAGCCTCAAATTCCCATGTTAACAATTTTTTGCTCGTTACTTCTTCAACACCAAATTGGATCAATTTTGGGAGGGGGAATATTGGTTTGGCTATTGGACCTCAGCCTTTTCGGGAGGTTCTGTTCTCAGCAAACCACATTGCCACATCGTTCAAGCCAATTTTCTCAAATAATTCCACTTTGGGTTATCGTAAACGTATTTCTGAAGAGGATGGAAGACCAACATTGAAAATTAAACGAGCGCCCTTTGAGGTTTTATACTCATGGAAATACACTCAACTGCAAGTAAGCATTCGTGCTTTATTTATTTATTACTAAACCTACTCACTATGTTTTCACATTTGTAACAATCAGTTATTTAACCATCTAATTTTCTTCATACAGGAAATAAGAGCGTTTCACCAGCAGCGTCCTAAAAACTTATACTGGAGGCCTTTTTTCAAGAAAAACACGTTGTATCAACCTAAAATACGCGAGGCGACCTAACGCTGTTCTTGCGGCCACTAATTGAAAAAAGCTGCCATTTTATCTTAAATAAAAATGTGTCCATTTCATCGACCATTTATTTTTACGTTGTTGTGAAGTCAAACAACGCTAAAAAACGAATCGAAACATGTCACCTTAAAGCTATCATCAATCTCGGAAACAATACGTACGATACTTTAACTAAATACTCAGCTAATCTCTAATTCCTGACAGAAACAGAAGCGCAACTAAAAACGGTTCCAAAACTTTAGTCATTTGATAATCGGAGATTAAATTGAAAGGTACGTAAAAGTCACGCAGCAGTCCAATGAAGAGGGTGCTTTCTCTGTAGTGTTTGGTGTGTACGAGCAAGGCTCGTCACAAAGTGACGAATCGTACTTTACAAGACAAAGTTCCAGTATACCGGTGATAAAATAAACGGTAATCAGTAATCAATGAAAAGAAGCATTAAGAGTTGAGCCATCTTGACAATTATTTAACCCAAGCCATAACCCTGACACTGGATGGCTTGGAGGAGTTTTCTCTTCAAGATTTTCTTCGAAGGGTACAACGGTATGCTCATCCGCTGACCACAAGTAGTTGCCATGGGTAACGCCTTGGTGTTTCCACTGATGACATCCACAGTGATGTTAAGGTCTGAAAATACGAAAATTGTCTCTTCAGGGACACCATTTCCATATCACGCTATAGTATTAAACAAGTGAGCCTCCACTTTTTATGGCCACATCTAAACAGTCTTGAAATAAAAATCCTTAACAAGGTTCTTTTTAATCGCAGCCTCAGCTTGGGAAATATCATAAGTGAGAACAATCGGGTTAACCCTTTAACCCCTAAGGATGACTGGCATCTAAATTCTCCTTACAATATCACTCCTGAATGAAGCATTAAGGTCATGGGAATAAGGGAAATGATCAACAACTGAAGAAGCTCTTGATTGTTTTAACAAATTCTCCTTTTCAGAACCTTAAGAAATGTATAGTGAAAGTATGGAGAATATGCATACTGATGTTAGGGTGTAAAGGGTTAAGAAGGACTGGCCCATCATAATGCGCTCCTGGTTTAAGATACTGCTAAATAACACTGGATAGCTTGATTAAAAAGGAATGACACGACTGTCTAGGATCATTTCCCTGTGATCGGATTGGAAAAAAGAATTGGGAAGCCGGTCCAAGGGTGCCTCATTTTGAATTACAAATTAAATTTACATCGGTCAATTTCGACCTGAATTCATCTGGAAAACACTTTTTCGATAGAACGGATAGAACGCATTTTTGTGTCTAAATATAGCGACCTAAACTTAGATAAGACAAGAAAAATTCCCATCACTGAAAGAGAGAACACCATACCTTGTTCCGGGTCTCTTCTGTCGGACAGAGCTGGGAGAACCGCGCTCCCTGTGCAGAAGTAAAGCAGTTGCTGTCGTTGAAGAGGAGTCATTTTTTGGACAATGGACCAGAACCACCTTAATAGGGTGCAAAGATCGTCATCAATATTTAAATTCTCGTTACCTTATGGGTGAAATTTGTTCACTGCAGGCTGGGGGAATTGGTTTCTGGTCAAGACCCTACATTCGATCAGATGAGATAAGATCCGAGAGGTCGTCCACAGTCTCTTCAGCAATGTAGAGAACAAAGGAGCTAGTCCATAATTAGACCACTTTTCATAAATATCGTGGATTCTATGAAAGCTCCAGGTGGACATGGGGCTTATTAGAGAGGGGACTACTCAGAGTGGAGGGGGGGGGGCTTTTCAGAAGAAGGGAGTGTATTAGAGGGGATGGCTTATCTTGTCAAATGAAGGCGCTTCAGAGGGGTGGGGCCAATCTTGTCAAATGGAGGACTCTTCTGAGGGAGGGGTTTATCAAAGGGAACGTATCGTGAGGGATATCAGATGGGGGCTTATCAGAGGGGCTTAGCAAAGACGGGCTTATCATAGAAGGCTTATTAAGGGAGAGATATTAGTATAAGGTTTATCAGATGGGTATATACCGAGGGGGTCATCATAGAGGGTATGAAAAGGGGCTTATCAAAGGGAACTCATCAAAAGGGGAACTCATCATAGGGGAAATCATCCAAGGGATGCTTTCGCATCTTGTAGGAGCGCTTACGGGTAAAAAAGTTTCCTCCTACAACTCAAGATGATCACGTCACCACTCTTTGCAATTTGTACATGGTCAAGAAAACAAGAGAGAGATCTTGTCTTGAAATAAAAAATTCTCAAGACTAAGCTAGCGGTTATGTAGGACGGCCACTAAGTAGAATAAGGAATCAGCTGTTGGTCTAATGTTACCTACCGTTTAAATCTGTCGAGGATATCGGTGGAACAGCCATTGCTGTTACTGAACGTCATCACAGAGCGAAGACGGTTGATGTCGACATCTGTCGTTCCTCCTGACAGTAAGAGCTGAAAATCCTACAAAGGAAAGGAGAAAAAAAGAACTACGAGTGTGAATCTGGGCGGGAAAAATTAGAGGGTAGAATCTAAGTTTCACCTCACGCAGCAAACAAGACAGTATTAAATGACTGCTGGTCACATAACTGGTGGTTTACCTCTGGTGTAAGAGATGTTAGGAGTTCAGAAGGAATGACGTCATTCAGTCCGCTCCTCATGGCTCGTAATTCGTTTTCTACGCAGCCGATCATCACCTTGCTAGCATAAAGTCTAAACAAAGAAACGACGGTCAAATTATCAACAATAATAAAAATGATAATATTCATAATCATAAAAATAGAACATTAGGAGCTTTTCGCTTTCACAAAAATCCTGCATTGGGAAATCTTGATTCAAGGTCCTTTGATATTTTCAAATCATTGCACGCCTTCTAAATAATTTATTTAGAAAGAGTTTTAAACCAACAACAACCTGATCCTCTCACGTAAATCAAATTCTAACAACAACACTGAGAGTAACATATATACTTGTTGGTAGAACTGGTTGTGAAAGGACTTTCGAACTTCTTTCTTACTAGGACCCCCCCCCCCCCATCCCCCTGCCCACACTTGAATCAAAATTACTATTGTCACAGTAGCATCGTCTAAACTTTCTATTAAACATATAAGAGTGACATCGATGCGTCAACCAATTCAGATAAACATGTATGTCCCGTTCAGACAGTAAGTTTACCACATTACCTGACGTATTTGAAGATATTGTCAGGCGTCACGGGAATCTGCGAACCTCCAGGTACGAGTTCTTCTGTTGTGCCGCCCACTGAAGTCTGTAAGCGCAAAATAATAACAGAGCTGTTTTCTTATCTATCGACGACATAGCTGTCTGTAGAAATAGATATACACTCTATGCTTCTAGAACAACGGTCGGTAACATCACCATGCGATGACGGGGGCGAGTTCGTCGGGATGGGGGCAAACTTACAAAGGGGCGAAACTTCTAGCTACCGTAACACCAATGTATTGTTTAAGCTCATACCTCAAAATGGCAGCAGTATGTGGCCTGAAAGCGTTCTGAGGTCATCAGTGGGTGAGTTGTATCTAGAATCATACGACTGAGTCCCTCAAACAGGTCAGCATTGAAAAACGCCAGGTCCTCCCAAGTTACATCTCTAAATAACAAAGCAAAAAACAACAACAATATGAAAAAAATATTTTAATCTGTTCGATTGTTGCTGCAACTGGTGTTGGAAGTCTCTGTCAGCGGTTGGGAACTTCTAACCTTTTTTACGAACGCAGTCCCAATATTAAAGTAGTCCTAACATCAAAGCAGGCATAAAAACTGATGATTTCACATTTCGACATATCAACGCAGACTTTCATCAGGTTTAACAGACTCACCAGGCTGTCAATTTTGTAATTTTTGGTAAGCTTGAAGCGCCCCTCAATGATAAAGTTACATTATTTAAGTTCTTTCCAACAACGGTACCTTTCTAGTAGAAATTTAACCACGTGGCGGCTAAAGTTCAGTGGTACGGTGTTACTGAACCAAAGACTCAAACCAATGAATCGGCCAATGGCAGTGAACATCTTCAGGCGACGATTCTGAAACAAATAAAAGCGAGATAAATTCACAAGTTACCGACGTTCTGTGTCGAAGCGGGTTACTCTTAGTCTCCCACTCTCCTCAGGAGTACATGAGGAATAAAAGAATTGCGAAGCAAACCTAGCAAAAAGCTTTAAAATTTGACAAAGTCCTTAAATTTTATAGGTTTTCGTATAGGTTGGAGTTTGTAAAAATA